CGCCCGGCTCCAGCCGCTCGTCCACTGCTCCGGGTCGAGATCCGGCCGAGATCCCGGCCCGCCCCGGCTCAGGTCCCGCCCAGCCCGGGTCGCGTCCCGCGCGCTGCCCCGCCCGGGTTTCGGGCCGCGCAAACCACAGCTGGAAGCGGCCGCTCCAACGGCTCTTGATCCCCTTCCCTGGCGGCTCCTGGGGTTGCATTTCTCAAACGCACCCGTCCGCGACAGGAGTTTTAAAGCAAAACAAGCTTATGTTTGAACGCGGACGCACTACGCGCGAGGAAGTCGGGTCAGCACAGCGGCGCTCGGGGTGGGGGGTGCAGCGTCCTGGCCGCCCGCTGCCGTCGCAGGGTCCTTCGCGCCCCACGCTGGGCCCCCAGCCCTTGTCGGCCCCAGAGCCTGGCCCCCGCCGTGCTCTGCTTTCCCTCCTGACGCCGCGCGCAGGGACACCCTAGAACTGTGAGCAAGCCTTCTCTCTTTTTAAGTTGGTCATCTCAGGTACTTGTTATAGTCACGAAAAGCTAACGTCAGGCATGACAAATAGTGTACGGGGGACACTTCTGGATCAAAATTGTAGATCTGTTCCTGATTCAACAAAAAGGAAGTGGCCTTTATGGCAAAAACGCACACTACGAGTCTAACCGTGAGGAAACATCAGGTAAAGTAAGAAATATCCACAAAATAGCTGGCCTAAGGGCCGGGGATATAACTCAGCAGCACAATCGCCTGCCTGGCAAGCACAAGGTCCTGAGTTCAATTCCCGGAACAAACAAACAAAAAATAGCTGGCCTCCCCCTCAAACATGTCAAAATTGAGGTTAAGGGTGTGGCCCAGCAGCAGAGCACATGCTTAGCCTGAATGAAGCGTTTGACTAGTCTTGAGCACCACATACATACAACACATACAAAGTCAGTATCAAACACGTGCCCCTTGGCAAAGACAACGGAAGGCTGGGAAGCTATTCCCAACTCAGGGAGACTAAGGAGCCAGGAAACTAATTGCAATGCTCTTTTAGACTAAATCCTGACTAGAAAAAGATTTTATAAAGCAATTATCGGGGCTGAGTGTGGTGGTGCACAGCTGTAATCCCAGCGCTCAGGAGGCTGAGGCAGGAGAATCACTGAGAGTTTGAGGCCAGCCTGGTCTAGTGAGTTAAAAGCCAGTCTGAACTGCAAAGTGAGACCCTGTCTCAAAAAGACCAAAAAAATAAAATAAAAATAAATATATATATATATATGCATATATATGTATGCATATTTATATATTATTGGAATAGTTGGGGAAATGTGAAGGTCTGTAGTTTAAATAATAATGCTATATTAATCTTAAATATCCTGATTTTGAAAATTGAATTACTTCCTAAGCGAATGCTTTTATCTTGGACAATACTCGCTAAAGTATTTAAGGAGTAATGGGGTATCATGTCTGAAATTTACTCTGAAGTATTTTAGTGTGTGTGTATGTATTTATACAGAGGGGGGAATGAATTCTAAAGCAAACACAACATTGTGGTGAATACATAATTGGTAAACACATAAAGGCTAAAAATTACTGAGCTATTGGGTGGAGGGAAAAATGTCAGTTTGACCCAAGAAAGAGAAACTATGCTTGATTGTTAGTTTAGTTTGAAAACAATGTATGCTTCTGAGAACGTTCTGAACTTTGCAACACCTGCTTGCTGGAGCCGATAGGTTCCACTTTTCTGCCCTTGCAAAAAAGAAATTGTTCCCCTGCGCCAACCAGGATGTGGTTTTCAGGCTTGAAAGCTCAAATTTTCTTCGGTTCAGGGCTGCTCAGCATCTCCCTGTGCGGAGAACGGACCGACAGCCTCCGGCCCGGCTAATAAAGGCTCTTAAATTCCAATTTGGATTCTGGTCTCGGTTCTTTATTCAGGGTAACCCATTACAAACATAGTTGTAAGAAATAGTGTCCCTGGGTAAAGGGTATGCGGAAGTTTTGCTGCAACTTCATTGTTAGTTTGAAATTAAAAGTTTAAAAATTTGAGAAGGGTGTGGTAGCACACAGCTGTGTTTACAGCTACTCAGAAGGTTAAGGCAGGAGGATCACTGGAGCAAGACCCTATCTTTAAAAAAAAAAAAAAAAAACATTTAAAATATTAGCAGGTCAAATATGTGTTACTTATCTCAGTTCCCTGTAGGAAACCCTATGAAAGTAACTACAGAGCAGGAGAAAGAGGGGAGCTAATTAGCTCCACAGCTACAAGGGAATGAGGACAAAAGGCCACAATAAATAAACTTGGAAGACATATAGTAGAATGACTGACTTAGCAGAACAGACAGAGCTGTAACATTGTAAAGCTGGAAGCTAGCAAATACTTGCCTTAGATTTGCAGAAATCAGCAGACTCGGCTCTGGGCTAATCAGCAAACTCAAGCTCAGCTCTTGGGCTAAATCTGACCTCCAAGCTACTTGCTTAATGAGCCATCATGAAACATAGTAACAATTACTCTTCACATACTGCCTGTGGAGTTGAGCAGTTGCTGGTCAAGCTCAAAATATTTATTTTCTAGCTCTTTACAGAAAAAGGTTGCTGACTCCTGCATTAGGATTCTAGGAGTTCTAGGAGTGCAGCCTCGAGAAGTTCAGAGGCAATGTAGGTGTGGGTGGGAATCCTCCACACCCTGAGGGTCCATGCATGTTCCTGATGGGTGTGCTCGTCACAGCCTTTCCTCCTCTGACTTCTCAGAGGAGTGGTGGCTGCAGTGAGATACCCTGCAGGATGGAGCAATACCGCTCCAACCTCTCCTAACCTTGGAAGAAGACCGGTGTCTTCTGAGACACAGCCCACTGTCTGCAGGTATCCATTTGGGCCCTTTGAATTACCCAGGAACTGACAGGAACCTGAAGCAACTGCTTCCACATGAGTGAGAGTTCTTCAACCTGTCCCAGGAGCCTCATGTCTTCAGCTACTTTCACCCATGTGTGTTGTGTTTAGATCAAGAATGTTCCCCCAGAGGCCTCCTGAACTCATAGGTGGGACTGGAATGTGAGTTCAGAGCTGATCCCTGCTGGAAGGCAGGCCTGGTGGGAAAGGGTGGGTCACAGGGTGTGTCTCCTTTCCTGGCACCAGCACTTGGGAGGGTGAGGCCGGAGGATCACTGCCAGGTCGACGCCAGCCTGGGCTACATAGTGAGACCCTGTCTTAAAAACAAAACAAAAAACTCCTCATCATCACTCTTCACTAGTGAAAAGCAACTTAAAACTATCATGAGATTATAGCTCATACCCATTAGGGTAGCCACCATCAAAACAACAGAAAATGTCAAGTATTGGCAGTATCTAAAGGGGCATCTGACACAGACAGGGCACCTGCAGAAGACTAGACAATGCACACCTTCCAAGTGGGCTCCATCCTGTTTGTTTGTTTTTGTTTTTCTTCCGGTACTAGGAATCGAACTCACAACCTTGCACTTGCCAGGCAGGCCCTTTGCTGCTGAGCTAAATCCCAAGCCCCTGGGCTCCATCCTGCTACAGCCACTTCCCACTCTGTGTTTACAGGACACCACTGCCCACCACATAATTCTCTGGTAGGAGGGGGCAGGCTTCTGAGGGGAACGCACAGCCCCAGAGGGAAGAGCCACAGGGGGTGACATGGGGGCCGCCAGCCCAGTAGTGGTGTCCTGCCTGACAGCCTTTGGGCAGCCCCTCCCTCAGAACTTTCAGTGATGTTCTTGGATGCTTACACTAGTAAGGCGTGAATCAGACTTGGCTCTCATAGCCCCCAACCTGCTTTCCAGCAGAGGCACTACTCTCAGCAGGGAACGCAGCTCAGCACCAAGGCTGTCATCAACTAACACAGTGTCACAGACTGATCAGGTCCGCAACCTCCCAAACCAGTGGATGGCAAGGGCTTAAATAAACGAGTCAAATGGTATGAATTTACAGCTCGAGGAGGATCAAAACCCTTCAGCAGAATTTAAGATTCTCTGGGGCCTGAGACAAAGACCTTCTCTGGGTGGCCCGTATTTATTTGGTTTTCAAACAAGGGAGGGGAATCTGAGCAGGACCTTGGGAGAAAGCACAGGAATCTGAGCAGAACTTTGAGAGTCAGTTCAAGGATTTCTCCAAGTAATAGATTATATTCATTCCGGAGAACTATGTTATCTCCAGTAAGACCTTCACTGCAGGAGTGAAATGCCTGCAGCTACAGTCTTTATCCAGCTAATGGGGGTTGGAGCCAGGTGTCCTCAGCTGTGGCCTCATCTTGTCCTTTGAGGCATCATGGCATCACCCACCATTACAGGCCTCAGTGTGACTCACAGAAGTTCACTTACTATGAGTCCACTGCCCAACTCCAGACAAGGGGTCTAGGCCTTGGACAGACTCACAAGTAAACATGAGATGCTAATTGGCTAATTTAAATCCTGCTCAGAGCCGCTTCTTAGTGGTCTTCATCAACAAAAGATGTGATAAAGGAGATAAGATAGGACAAGGAATCTTGCAGGTCTCAGACATCTGGAGGCGCACTGAGGCACAAGACTGCCAGAGAACTTTGACCACAGTTTATTAAAATCTTTCTGCCTAACATCCCTTGCTTTCCTTCAGTCACTATAAAAGGGGCCCGTTTTCCTCTGTTCTGGACAGACAGCCTTGTCACCCTCTGCATGCACCCAGGTATTAAGCCGTATGCCTTGTTGCTTCCTCAGAAGCCTGTTGAGTAGTCTCGGCCTCATTTGTTCACTCACCTTGTGTTCATTACGGGCAGGGCCTCTGGCAGAGCTCAAGATGGAGACAAAGAGCTTACAGGCACAGGAACAAGGAACAATACAGAAACATCTAGAGAATTACAAAGCACTTTTGAAATAAATTTTAACAGAAAGGTCAGAAGATAAAAGATGAAGAACTCCTCCAGAAAAATAGAACCCAAATCAAAGACAGTGGGAGGAAAAAGAGAGAGAGAGAGATCAATCCAGAAAGTCATGACTAGAAAGAGTTCAATAAGAAAGCATACAGAAAGAAAATTAAATAATCCAAGAATATTCCCCAAAGGACAGGCATCTCTACACTGAAAAGACACATTCAAAAGTAAAAAGAAAAATAAAAAAGGACAGGGTTGCTCAGTGGTAGTCACCTGCCTGACATCAGAGAGACCTGGGATCAGTCCTCACCAATGCCAAAAAAACCCCCAAAGAATTAAAAAATCTGTACCAG